GCAGAGTAAAATGTATATAATATGCATGGTTAATAAAACAAAGCCACTGTGACACTCATAATATAAAATCACGTATTTTAAAATTAGTGCACATACATACAGAAGCAAAATGTTCATATTGACAATAAATCCATGTATAATATATGCCATTGAATAATAACTCCTTAGAAATATACGCAGACAGAAGGAATGACAATATAAGTTTAATGATGTGTTTGTGTTCCTACATATATGTGGCAATTATGTTATGCATAACATGAAATAACACTGCATGATAAAATATAATGCTATGTTTATATTAAAATATATGTGTATTGGTTGGTAATCCTTATTTACAATTAAAATTTTTTAATGTTACTTTTCAGCTTTATTATACATTACATTAAACATGATATACTAGAAATAGTTAAAATATATAAATTTATTTTTCATGCAAAACTGAACTTCTGCATTCAAAGTTTTAAAGCATACATCACAGTAGTATATTATTTCATACTGTTGATTATGTCATATCAATAAAAAAAAAGAGAATCATAACGTTCTGAGAAACTTCAAAGAAAAAATTTAAGAGAAGAAGACCCAGATATAACCATTCATATGCAAACATCCAATTCTTATAACATACCCACAGAGGGTGGTGCAGGTCGAGCGGGTGGCTTTGACGCTGTGTGAGTTGTGGCATGTGTAGTGGCAGCCAGATTCTGTCTACTTTGTCGTGATGCTGTGTAGTATGATGCATAAGTAAAATAATGCTAAATAATGCTGCTCATTAGTTAAGATGTTTTTCATTTAGGGAAACCAAGTATTGGTATGAATTTAGGTAGATATCAATAGTGATAAAAAATACTGCTTATTCTGATTCTTGAGACTGAAATATTTAGTTGTTATGCAATATATAGTAGCTATAAAGTCAGCTTAAGACACAATATTGTATCTGTTGTGAAATATAATACTTATCATTAGTGTAAGGAGTCTAGTGAACCCTATGAAAATCCATACTTTCACAATGTACACTCATTTTTTAGATTCTTTTCAATGATTCGGATAGAAACATATAAAATAAATTACCTGGTAAAGTCATTGGTGAAGCAGGCCTAATTTGATGTCCAGGTAGTGGTCCATTTGATGGTGGCGGGCCTATTAAAGGACGTGGAACTGATCCAGCCATGGGCATCCCACCAATTAAAGGTTGTACTGTAACTGGTGGGGGTCCAGTTAAATTGACTAAAGAAGTAACATTATTGTGCGGAGGTATACTGGCACCTCCATTGGTTAAATTTGTTACACCTGTGTCACCTAAACATAGATGAAAAAATTAAAATATATTTAATGCTTATTTGAAGCAATTCTTTTTATTATATATACTTACTAATAGAAAGCGCCTTTAAACTCTGCACTAGAATTGGTGGCAATGCATCTGGGATCTCAAAGCCACGTAATTTTAAAGTAATTAATTTACAAGCAATACTAAACTCATTTATATCCAGTTTACCATCTGAATCTGTGTCTGACAAAGACCTGCATACAAATGATCACATTAGATATATGATAACATTATCACATTGTCTGGAATTTAATTGCACTTCAAATATTTCCATAAGTAATATACTTGAATGAATCACAAAAGTCACATTGAATGAGCAAAATGTAATGATGTTATAGCAGGCTATTGCTGCTGGTATTAATGAAGAGCACTGTCAACAATATTCTCTCTATATTAAAAATCAGAATGGCAACACTATTTAATAAATAAATATTCAAAAAATATAAATATTTAAAGAATAAATATTCAATTTTTTTAAGTATAAATATTACATTATGCAAATAATATAATGTCATATTATGGTCATCATGAACATAAAGCTAAGGAAATCACAATTAACTTCCAGATCACTTGGTACTTAGCATTAAATGTCAAAGCATTCTGACAATAAGAAAAGAACAATACCATATTTTCCCAAGAATTACAGGTGGAAGTTGAGATCTGAGCAAAAACTCTTTTGCCTGTCCTCCAGTGACAACACCATTAATTGGTTTTAAAGAGTCAAATTGTTCTTTATACTTTGCACGTTCCCTGGGTTGAATCACCCAGGGATCCATACCTAAAAAATGGTGACTCTTTAATTTTTCCCATGATACTTTATTAAAACGATTTTTCTGAATGAAACCACTAATATTTACGACACAATTCGCTATTTTATGAACAATGCATGCCAAATGGAAGACTACAGACTGTTTTTATTGTTTCCCTACAGACAATTGCTGTCAACATGACAGATCAACTAAAAGATGATTGACAACTACAAATTCGGGAAAAAGAAGAGATTTACCTGGTGTTTGTGGGGTGGCCATCTCTATTCACCCGTAGGTGACCACCGAGCTGAATCTGCAAGGAAAGAAAACTAATAACTTTCACGGAAACATTATCTCCGGAAACTCGGTCGGGATATGTGGCGATTTCAAGGTTAGGTCACGGTGATCGATCCTGGCAGGAATGACTCGAGATATACCTCACGAGAGAAGAATTGTCGAAACGCTATCAATTCAGCGTGGATTCAATCACGAATAAATCCAATTAACCAAATAAGAGCGGGGTCATGAACTTGAAGATTGATCGGGGCCCTAACGCACACGTATAAGAGCAGCAATTTTTCTCACACCAATGTATACGAACATACGACAGTGAGCCGCTTCCCTCGCTCGCGAACCCTTCTACAACTTTACTGAACAAAATTCATGATTGCGTATCGCAGCGTTAGCGATTTTCCTCCCGATACAACGAATTCGTAGAATTTCAGAACTCTACCGACGATACGCGGGTCGGCCCACATTGACTGACGTACATACGTCACTTTCACGACCTCGGCTATTTCCGGAAGTCTTCGGTTGGAATCGATAGCTCAGCCGAAACCGTTTCGTTGATCTTCGGCAGAGATCGTCCCTTCCGCAACCCCTTGGTTCAAATCTTCTTCTCTTTATTTAACGCGATAATATGAAAATTATAATTAAAAAATAATTATAATTGAATATTGAACACAAATAAGAAAAGCATTAAGACACTGATAATATTTTGTCCAATACGTAACTTTGCCTTGTAAGCAGCTGTTTAAAAATTATTTTAAATAATCGCTTTACGTAAATGCTGATACCGTATCAGAATATTTCAAAGTAAAGATACCGAACGAAGCACAATTTATATTTTGAATAAATGTAGAGTCTGTATTGTTGTTAAAAATGAATTTAAATGCACGAACAATATAACACAGCACGTGTATGTAAACGAAGTAACTTTCAAATAGATAATCTCGACTAAGAAGCGAAATCGAACACTGTTATCCAAAGCAATGAGTACTTATATGATAACGAACTTATTCGAGTTTTAGGTAGCAAAAATACTATTTACTAAAACTGAATTATCTATCGATGAATCGATATCAACGAAGTACAAATCGGTTATCGAAAGGTTCATCTTAAGATGCCACGTGCGACTGTAGGAACGTACCGCTTTTGTGTAACAATAAGTACGTCTATTGATTCGAACTCGATTCGGGTTAGATGCCCGGCTACTTGAATACTTGGATGCTGTCCTATGCAGTCCTATGGTATCATGTTTAATCCGAATAGACTGCGTAAAATCGAAGCGTAACAAACTGAATTTGATTGTACTAATTATGAGGTTATACTCACTGATCAATGCTTCATACCTTCATATATTACGACGCTAATCACGCCACGTTTAAAAGTTTCAAGTATTTTCAAGAGATTCTTTTAAATAACTTTTACTGTAACAGAAAACACGGAAGAAACAGTAATTAATACCAACAATGTAATACGAATAACACGATATTTAGCTACTCCCTCATCGTTGAATAACCATAAAGTATAACTTGATCGATCGGAAATGCAATTACATTTAGAGGTATCATATATTTGATTGATACGAAACCGAATTCGGACAGGTTTTTTGATAGTCGAACACACAGTGGACCAGAAAGTAGTAATTTGTGGTCAAAATCTAATTTGCAGTTTAAACTTTACGATGAAATTTTTATTTGAAGAAATTAACAACTTTACAGATATTAAAGATAAAATCGTGTGAAATTTTATGCTTTATTAATTACTTTTACTTTTAATTAAAATTTATAACAATTTGAACTTTAAAACAAAAGTTTATACATTTAGTTAAAATGGCTTCAATAACGTTTGCAAAAAAACTGAAATGTCTAGTAGTACAATTGGTACGGTACTTACATAAATGATACAGTGGCACCTAAGTGCCGCGTAATCTTGGTACCCGGTTTATCGGTGTATTAATGATACTAGTGATGAGCAGTGCGAATTATACAAAATTACAAATGACCTGTGCTTCATACGTCCTTGATGGTATCTGTTTCGTGCTCACTATACATAGGTGCACACGACCTGGAAATTACAAAGCTCCATTTCATTGTCAGTTAAGCGCGTGCGAACGTCCGAACGGGAACACGTAACAGTGAACTAAGGACCAAACATATGAAAAGTGTTGTCAAAAAATATGAAAACGATTGTTTCGTGGAGTGAACGAGGTTATCTGGTTTCGGTATTTTTCGAAGTACTAAAAAGAATCGAAGGTTTATAGCTCATACAGTTAAGTGAAAGTGCAAGAAGGGTATATGATCGAACGTTTCATCACGATCGATAACGCACAGTGAACAGTTTTTATATATTCTTGTCATATCGATACCGTACCTCAAGAATTTGAATTGTACGTGTTTCTTGAAGTTCATATACAAAATTATAGTTAAACAATGCAACGGTGAAAAGAATCTAGTGAATGTGTTACAAAATGACATGCGAGAAATACGTCTCGAAGTGAATCAAAATCGATCGGGACGCGATTATTCATAATCGATGGCGGTGCAAACGGACCAATCGAGTTCCACTACATTAGTGATCTGGGTATGATTTTATACATTTTATTGAGTTGTTCTTATTGTAATATAACTCAAAGAAATAATTATGAGGTAATTACAATAAACGTTCACATTAGTGATAAAGTAATCTATTACTTATTTAATTCTAATTAAATTCTATTATTTTTATTCTAATAAAATCTAGTTATTTAAAAATATAAAAGGTACGGTTGCCATGAATTTTAAATTACTATAAATTAGAAACATATAATATCTAAATTAAAGTAATACTATTTACAGTTTATGACTTTAAACATTTCGATGCAATTTATCGAATTATAGATAAGATAATTTGAAATTTTAACAATTTCTAACCCCTTTCTGCTTATCTTCTTGGAGTAATTTTCTATACAATACGCAACATAATTGGATTGTGGTTGCGTTATCGCTGTCAAGCGAGTACTTATCGCTATTGATACTTTCCACGTAAGGAACACAAAGGATGATAAATATTTAATAGGCATTAATAACTCATTCTAAGTTAAGTATCTAAAATTATAAAGAAAATTCAATGAAAATAAAAGAAGACTTAACGTGTCGGTATGAAAATCTATATTCAAGTAAAATAAGCTATTGTTTAGGTCCCGGGAAGTTAACGGTACAAGTTGCAACCACCTTTTGCATACGACACGTTTGACGATCCTATCACAATGTTGTCGCACAACCCGTCACTAGTCCCATTCAGAACATGCACTGTTAATACGAGGCGATTACGCGTTTGTCACTAGTCAATGCCAATCGTTTCAAGTAGAGCCGGTAGCGTTATACGTTCAACTCTCTGCGGTTCAACTGTTACAGCCGGAATTGTAACCGCAAACCGACACTATCGCGCTAACCTACAAAAAAGAAAGGGTCAAACCACGTGTTCCGTGAGTGCAATTGAATTTAGAATTGCGTTCCTGCGTTAATCCCATATCTTGTATTGATCGTATCATAGGAATAAAGAGATAAAGTATTGCACGCTACAATTAAATTTATTTTATTGTAAACGTGCATTAACAACTGATAAGAACAACGAACACAATGCATTTCCATGCATTGCATGGAATTCCATGCAGCTAACAACTGAACAGATCTGATTTGTTAAAAATAAATGATGTACCTAGAAAACCAGAAGAACAATTTGCACTACTCTTGTCTTATGCGCCATTTGAAAATATACATTTTCTGCCGGGGCAATGATCTTTATTACATTTACTTAATTCGTTTGCTCGAAACAGCGAACGTTCTAAAGTAGACGCAATCATGCATTTCTCGCAATGCTATCAAACGACATTGTCTGTATGAATCAATAATCATCTGCGTGAGCATGAAACAAGACAAGAGGTCAAGTGCAAATGTACATACAGAGTGTACATACATCGTAGTTTCCCTATCTTGATTAACTGAGAATTGTCATTTTGTTATTCGTCTTAGATTTTGCATTTTTTAAATATCTTTTAAAGAATAAATTAATAATGCAAAAAACACGATTTTATAAAATAACTTAGAAGAAAAATTACTACATGAATTTGCACGTAAAATACAATATTCCAAATCTGTACTTACTAATTGTATAACTTTTAAAGCCTATGCAAATCGAACAAACCACCTTATATAATGCACAATATTAAAGTACAATAGATGAAATGTATCGTTCGCATCTATCAAGTGATCTGTGATGTGAATAGATGTGGGGCGGATTTCATTCAATTCAAGTAACGTTTAGCAAAAAGGTTCATGGGTCAAGCATTAAAAATTAGATTTGTCAAAGCAAACTCTTCATGTGCCGCGTTTAATGTAATATATAGAGTAGCAAATACAAGCGGTTCAAAGGGCGTTCTATATTCTACAGTCGACGACAAATATTCAAATGTTCCGGAAACTAATGACTTCTTTATCCCCTCTCATTTCATTTCAATTCGCGTTCTGTTTAACTGCGAATTCGCGACAATACATATCACCTTAAACTAATATTTACCATACAATGGCAATGCAAATTTCACATAGAAACTCTCGTCAACTTTTGCTTCAGACTATTCCAACAATCAGTGGACGAACTCGAATTATACGCACACAAAATTGGGCGTGCACCAATATTTCTAACGAAGATTAGTGGAAAAATGAATGAAAACGCACAAATTTAGAAACAAAAACATAGTATATATACTTTGTTTTCGTAAATTCTATTAAATAACTCATGTAGAAAATTTTAAATAAAACACGCGAACTTAACGATTATTAACAGAACAAATTATTTAATATACTTATACTTCGTTGCATAGCCTCTTATCCTAGTTGTGGCTTGTAAACGATTGTGGCAGCGAATAATAAATTCGGATTTTTTTATATGTACATGGAATATTTCGTTATTTTTGTTCCAATTTTTGCTTGAAATTGAAGTCTTTATTGGATGAAAGCATCGATGAGAGTCCGGTAAAATTTGTGAATCACCTGGACCGCCATCTTCCGATGGCTTCGGAAAACGTTCAGTACTACAGGGTCTTCGACCTGTCCCCTCTGCTTTCGCGTGTGTTTTTGACGTTTTGTTTCGTGCATCGTCTGCTTGTGTTCTGCCGATTCGATAGCTACCTAGGTAGATCTTGGACCCGGTGACAGAGACAGGTAAGTACAAAAGAGATGACAACCGTAATAACGGTAACATAGTCTTGCAATGATTTCACCTGTCGCGGCACCATCATGTTTTCCGTTCGACGTGCATTATCGATTAACCGTATTGCCGGCCGGCGCGGGTAGTCGACACCGTGTCAAGTAAGGTGGTCTCTGGAAACGTTTTTCAAGCAAACCATCGGTTCGTTAATGGTGGATCGGCCTGTGTCTCGTGACCGGATATTAACAGTGACAGGAAGTAATGCTGGATAGTTTGACCGTTGTCATCGGGTAATTATATCATTGATAATTTATCTGAAATAATCTAGGTCACTGGCACGTGAAGCTGCGCGAACGTCTGCTTCGTGAGGCCGACGGTGCGCATGCGCGTTGGCGGGAGAATATTTTACGCGGGGGTGTAAATAATGCATCGCAAAAACATCCGATTGTAAATAGAAATCATTTAAACGTGATTACGCGGGTACAATTGTTTATTGCAAGAGTAATTGGACAATTTTGTCGGGCTATAATCTGCTAACCGGTAAAAAATGATTTATCATCCTACGCTATTAAGTGTTGTAACATTGACGAGATAACATTGCGCACTTCCTGTCGCGAAAGCGTCCTTTGAAATATTGGATAACAAAGTGTTCGATAACGCGTGATAGCCGAAGTACGAGGAAAGAGTATGTATGCTAATAGGATAGATAAATTTTGTAAAATTCGATATTTTTTAATCCTCTCAATGTCGTTCGTCACCTGTGTTTATGGAGTGTCATGGCTGAAGTTACCTTGAGCTTCTCACATGGCCAGTAAAAATGTTAGATTTACAGCGGCGAAGACAATACGTTGAAGTAGTAACATTAGTTAGCATAAGATAATTGTTGCCAGGATATCAGGTTAACGAAAGATATTGGAACTGTTTGTTTTTGCTTGACCATCCTACATATGGATTGTTGTTGCAGATAAGACAGTAGGTAATCAAATACCGGTGTGTAATCGTATTTCCAAGAATGTTGCGCAATGAAAGCAGATTTCTATTCAAATTACTTCTATTCTTGTGCATATGTACCACCTCGTTCCGCAAGGTGGGATAAACAGGCGCCGGATAATAATAATTCAGGCATTTAGAACGTCAACGGCGCAATGAAAAACGAGCGATTCATCACGGCAACGTGTAATTAACCGAGAGAAAATGTATTCCAAGAAAAAGGATATATACTTCCTTTCTCAGAAACGAATTATCCACGATTGCAACGTAAATTAATATCTTCTATGCAACATAAGTACGGTAAGAATTTCAATTACACCAATTTAACATAATGTTCATTGGACTAATTAAATCCTTTTGCATGGTGCATTTAGAAACACTAATTTTTCGCGGGAAAATATATATCGCAATTACGACGCCATCTTTGCTCTTGTAACAAAAAATTGAAGCACTCGACATAGTTGAGTTGCAAACGTTTGTAAACATGAAGAATTAGATTCTTATTAAAAATGATTCACCAACAATATTATTCGGTAATTAATTTCGTTCTGCACGTACAAATTAATCGAATCAAGTTAGTTATCGCACATTGAATTAATTTAAATTTAATTTAAAAAGTAAGTTGGTACCTCGGTACATCATCGAATCATTCTAAAAGTAAAGAATTCAAAAAATGCTTTAAACGAAGAGTTGCTGTTAAAGAAGAGTGTTAGTAGTATAAAAAAGAATACATAAAAATTGTATACTTGTATTAGTTAATAAGTTCAACTGTAATACAAAAGAGGAACATGTATTTCGTAACCTGGAAATGATCCTAAGCCAAAAAGGCAATGATCAGAGTAAATAACAATTACTATAAAGCATAAATGCATTAGAAAAATTTACGAACGCTTCATTTCTTTCAAATCATTGAATGAAGAAATACTTTCCATTCAATCTCTATTTTTACGACTGCGTTAGACAATTGTCATTTTACCCAAAGATCCACAGTCAAATAATAGCTTTCCAAAGAACCTAAATACGAGTACAAAGAAAACTACCGAAAAAGTGTCCGAAAAATGCGTGCAAAACGAAAACGGAGAAGATATAGTTATAAATACGGTGGTAAAATAAAAAATAGCACACATAGGGGGTGCTCTAAACAATCTAGAGCCGTGTGTCTGTGGAGCTATCAGAGGAAGGGAGCATCAATCTTCCTTTGGTCACGCTTCTCCGTTGCAAAAACACCGATCAGCGATTCGAAATGAGCCCGATGCGTCTGAACGCTTAATCCGAATGTCTCGGTGAGTCCGGTTGGCCGGCCGGCCGGCACGGTTCGCCTGTATTTCTGTCCTGAAATTCCGCAGAGGGGGATGTGAACGTCTTCGGCAGCTTTCTTGTCTCCTTCGCGGGTGTAGTTCACGGGA